GCATGAGCTTTCATAGACTTCAGTCTACTTCCTCAGATGCATTAGGAAAGTGAGTCTCAAAGGTGCTACAAGACCTCTCTACATACTGTTCTACAGACTAACACAGCTATATTTTTGATTTCTACTTTTATGTTGTCTAGTACAGGCTTGAAAGGGTGAATGTCTCTTCTGGAAAGCTCCTCTAGTAATCATCTCTTCCAGCCTCCCCAGTAAGCTGGGATTGCCAACCTATTTGCTCAGTTAAAACTGCCTGTGACCTGGCAAGAAGTGACAGCCAAAATGCCACTCATCTCCCTGCCACCCTCTGGCTTTCCTTGAGCTCCCTTCCTTAACTGAGCTCATCTCTTTACAGAGGGCCATCTCCATCCCTGGCCTGGGTGCTGGGAGTCACCTTTGCCTTGCCAGCATGCGACATTGGGTGACCTTATCAGCTCTTGGTATATTTTAAAGATGGTTTAGATGTGATTAAGGAGCCACTGTGGGAGGCAGAAGATGCAGCAGTCCAAGTAGCTGTCAGCCAGGAGCTCATAAATTGACCTGAGACATGCCAGTTGTTCTTAGCCTCACCCTGAAGCCTGATGGCATTGTAGAGATAATGATGACATTGGCCAACTTTATAGGACTGTTGGAGCAATTATTGTGATACTGCAAAGTCTCTTCTTGATTATAATGATATAGTTTTAGTTGTGGAAGAATGCATATGTGCTGTGTCCCTTCAAATTGTTTCTGACTTATGGCAACCCTAAAGCGAACCTATCATGGGGTTTTCTTGGCAAGATTTGTTCAGAGGCTGTGGGTTTCCATGGCTGAGCTGGAATCAAACCCTGGTCTCCAGAGTTGTAGCCCAACACTCAAACCACTATGCCATGCTGGCTCCTGTGGAAGAGTAGCTTTTCTCAGTTGGTTGTGCTGGGATGCAACTCCCACCATCTCCATTGTGTGGGGATGATGAGAGTTGTAGTCAGTGGTGGCTGGTGGCTCCAAGGTCATTTGGCACTGAGTCTGTTATTTTGGTCTGGACCTGAAAGGAGCTGTCCAAGGGGCTGAACCCCAAAATAGAGTTAGCATCTGGGTTAGTGCCTGTGAAGTTAAGACTAAAACCAGGAGCAGATTCAGCAACCCATTGACATGGGAGCAACTGGCTGCTGTTGGCTATAGTGCAACACATCTAGAGGGCATCTGGGTTGGGGCAATGCTGAGCTGGATCCAGAGTTCATTTGACTGTACTTTTAACCTATGAAATCCTGGGATTTGCAGTTTAAGGAAGGTTATTTAGAATTCAAGAGCCAACATGGTGTAGGGGTTTGAGCATTGGACTGTAACTCTAGAGAACAGGGTTCAAGTCCCTGCTTGCAGATGGAAACTTACTGGGTGCCCTTGGGCTAGTCACACTCTCTCAGCCCCAGAGGAAGGCAAAAGCAAGCTCCTTCCGAACAAATCTTGCCAAGAAAACCTCGTGATTAGGTCACCTTAGAGTCACCACAAGTTGAAACTGACTTGAAGGCAGACAGTAACAACAATTTAGACTACACAGCCAGAGATCTCCTCTCGTGCCTCCTCAAACTGCAAATCCCAGGATGCCACAGGGTGCAGCCATGGCAATTAAAGTGAGATCATAGTGCTATAATTGTGCAGCATGAAAAGGCCTTGGGGTGCTCTTCCAGAACAAAATTCTTGGGCCTGAGTCACAGAGTCTTTTGGAGTGTTGTAGAAAAAGATGCTCTTCAGGTTTTGTTTGGAGGTGTTTTGGCTTTGGTAAAATAATGTTTTTATTCATTTGTAATTTTATGAACATTTTATTTAGGGGACCTCTAACCAAATTTGGCGATGGCCACGAAGATGCAGAGGAGTGAGTGACAACTTCTTAACATTTGACTATCTTACTCCATCCTTTCTTCTTCACTCTCTAACAATCAAATTGTCTTTCTTTTTAAAATAATTTGTTTCCAAGTCCAAAGGATCCTGTAGTTCAACAGGACAACAGGAAGTGACCTGTTATTACCAGGGTTGTTAGTTGGAAGTTCTTAAGTAGGGGCTTAATGGCTGCTGACCAGGAGTGTGGTATTAGTGGATTACTGGATCTGTTGCCTTGGCATGGGGAGATCTAGACCAGGGATGGGGAAGTCTGGGCTTCATGCATCCCCCAGGGAAATTTTTGTGGTTTCTGGGTATGCCAAGATCCACTCCTTCCCCTTAAATAGGATGTGAACAAGAAGTGACTTCCAGGTCACTTCCTGTTGTAAAAAAGCCTCCCCTGGCCCTAAAAACATGCCCCCATTAAATCATTTGGGGGCAAAAAAAAAAAGATTTTTTTAATGGAAGGGTTGCAGTGAACGAGTCTCTTGGGGCAGGGCAGCCACTTAACCTCCTATAATTGCACACCCCTAGGTTAGATTAAATTGTTCCTTCCAAGTGTGAGTCTAATATGCACAGGAGTTCAGACCTCACAATCCAGTGCAAAGACAGAGACAGGAACATCAAATGGGGGAAAATCAAGTAAGATCAGTCCATCACTGTACAGTTAACTGAGATGTCTAACTAAGGAAAGAGTATAAATCACACACATTTGTTTTATGCTATTTTCTTTAGCTTGTGTTCATTGGGATGGGGTCAGGGAGCAATGGAGGGCATTCACCCACTCATCTCAGAAATCTTACCTAGAACTTGGGAAGTTACCTATTGTATAGGGCAGGGGTAGGCAACCTTTCCCCTTTAAGGGCCAAGGGGCTTCAGCTCCCAGAATCCCAGGAGCTATTGGCAAAGATGGGACTATTGGCCAACATGGCTGAGGCTTCTGGGAGCTGAAGTCCCTCGGCCCTTATAGGGGAAAGGTTGCCTACCCCTGGTATAGGGCATTGGCTCCAGAAACCTTATCCAATTCTTTAGAAAACTTTTTTTGGACTTTTTTGGCATGGCCACTGGGTTGGTGTAGTCCTGTGATGGCAACTTCTAGTCTCTTTTCTTATCTACTCAGCATCCTCTGTTTTATTTCATGGAATTATGGACTTGGAAGGGACCCCAAGGGCCATCAGCCCTGGTGGCGCAGTGGTTAAATGCCTGTACTGCAGCCACTCACTCATAAACCACAAGGTTGCGAGTTCAATACCAGCCGGGGCTGAGGACTCAGCCCTGCATCCTTCCGAGGTCGCTAAAATGAGGACCCAGCTTGTTGGGGGGCAATCAGCTCACAGTTGTAAACTGCTTAGACATCCCATGCGCGATATGAAGCAGTATATAAATGAAGCTGCTTTGCTATCCAGTTCAACTCCATGCTGCCATGCAGGAAGACACAACTAAAGCACCCCTGAAAGATATCCATCCAGTCTCTGTTTAAAGACTTCCAAAGAAGGGGTGTCCACCACCCTCTAGGGCAGTCTATTCTGCAGTATACAGTAAGGCATTCATCTGAGAAACTCCAAAGGGAGCTGGAGAGGCTGTCTTGAAGGATCTGCTAGAGCAGTGTTTCTCAAACCATGGTCCTCCCAATATCTTAGACTTCAGCTCCCAGAATCCCTCTCCATTGCAGTGCAGTCCAAGGCTTCTGTTAGTTGAAGTCTAAACATCTGGAGGACCCCTGGGAGGATGCAGGCAGTGTGTGGCAGTGACCAAAAGGAGGGGAAAGCCCTTCTTACATGTGTTTGTGTTCTGCTAATTTTCAGTGGTGTTTGTTGATGCAGTTCCTTTAACCGGTATCTTTTAGAGCAAAGGAGTTGGGATCGCCAAAGAGCAGAATGCGTACCAGCCAAATAACCTGCTTTCTGGAATCGTCATGAAAACTAACAAACTTAACATGTGTGTGCACCATTAATTTGGAATAAAAGATCTTTCACTGGATTTTCCTTTTTCTCTTAGATCAACACTGAAGCGGGCAGGACCTCCTCCTCTACCTCCAAAGGTTAGTGAAACCAGAATCTTAAAGGTGAGATAAACCGAACACTCGGATAGTGTCTTGGGACTCCTTTTAATCCCCACCTTTAGAGACCTGGTAGATTTTAAAATACAACATTTCTAAATCTAAAACTCTGTTCAGGGGTTCAGGCAGGATTTTTCCCTAGTCCTACCTGGAAGTGGTTTGAGGTGCTGCCCTATGGCTGCTGCCATGTTATGGCTGAATGCTATTAATCTCTGGGCTGAAATGCTAAACGTGTTTGAATTGGGTCAGGGGACAGAACTGGTTTGCCAAGAGAGGGGCTGACTAGTGCATACAAGAGAAAGGCTATGTTAGACTCTTTCATATTATCGAATGCCAAAGTCAGGATCATCCATGCTATTGTATTTTTTATTTCTGTGTATGAAAATTAGCCTATAAGGCATTGGCTGTATCTGTAAAGCATAGGCTAGTTTTCATACACAGAAATAAAAGATACAATGTTGTGGACTATCCTAACTTTGGCATTCAGTAATATGAAAGGCAAAGCCTTTGATAGTGTAAATATGAAATAGTAAAGCCTTTAATAATGTAGGTCATGAAAATTTTGGATCACTTTTAAAGAAATGGGTGTGCCACAACATTTGATTATCCTGTATGTGGGACAAGAGGCTACTGTCAGGACAAAATATGAAAAAACAGAATGGTTTCCAGTTGGCAAGAGAGCTGGCGAGGCTGCATTTTATCACCCTGTTTGTTTAATTTATATGCTGAACATTACATACGTAAAGCTAGATTAGACCCGGACAGAGAAGGAATGAAAATGGAAGGAACATCAACAGTTTAAGACATTCAGATGACATCATGCTACTAGCAGAAAATAACTAAGACTTGGAACACTTATTGAGGAAGTCAAAGAAGAAAGCACAAAAGCAGAGTTGCAGTTGAACATTAAGAAACAAAAAAATAATGACCACAGATTATTTGCATAGCTTTAAACACATTTAAATAATTTAAGATTTTCTGTACCTTGGCACAGTCATAAATGAAAATTGAAACCATAGTCCAAAAATCAGTAGAAGGCCTAGACTTGGAAAGAACTAGAAGAAAGAACTTGAAGGAACTAGATAAGATCCTCAAGGGTAAAAGATATATCTTTGAATACCCAAGTTAGGATTGCCCATGCCATAGTATTTCTATGTGTGGTTGTGAAAGCTGGACCATGAGGAAAATCCATAGGAAGAAAAACGGATTATTTGAAATATGGTGCTGGATTAGAGTTCTACAGATACCATGGATTACTGAAAAGACAAATGTTTCAGATTGCATATCAAGCCTAAACTCTCCCTAGAAACTAAAATGACTAAACTGAGATTGTTATACTTTGGACATATCATGAATCATTAGAAAAGATATTTTTGGTAAGATGGAAGGCAGCAGGAGAGAGGAAGACCACATTCCAGGTGGATAGACTCCATCAAGGAAGCCAGGGCTACCCTGAGTCTGCAAGACCTGAGCAGTGACTTAGAGGTCTCTCTTTCTTGGGGTCACCATAAATCAAAGCTGATTTTATGCAATTAAAACCACAGCAGTTAGAACTAATGCAGGGTGGTTGGGGGTAGTGAAGGTTTTGAAGCTGAGGAAGGTGGCTTGCTAAGGAGAAATGCTTTTTAAGTGCTTTTTTAATTATCTGTTTTAATATTGTAATTGTTTAATTCCATTTTAATTATCACCTTTCTAAGTTTTTGATTGTACTGTGTTTTTAGACTGTTAAGTCACTTTGAGTCCCAATTTTGGGGGGGAAAGTGGGATACAAATGATGATGATCATGGAGCTCTGAGACATCAAACTCAGGCAAAGCAGTTCCCCCTTTATCTCACTCTTTCTTTTTCTTTCTCTTCCAGCCCAGGCTCAATATTTATCAAGAGGAAAGCCTTGTGGATGATGAGAAGATCCAGACAATCAAGTATTGCCCAGATCCTCACAGTCAGGCCCCACCGGCTCATAGGAGACAAAGCATCCCAGTTTGTGGGCCTCAGACGGAGCCTACCCAGATTGGGATGACCAGCAGCGTCAGCAGCCCGGGTTTGCTCACCGTCCGATACAGCGACATGGGTAAATACCACTGTCCCTGCCATGTCAGAGGGCACACAGGGTGCCCAAAACTCTACTGGGTGCCAAGCAGAACCAAGAGAGCACAGGGGAAACCTTAGAAGTCAGTTTTTCCAAGAGGAAACAGTGATGAGGGCCAAATTGAAACTCTGCATTATTCACATTCTAATATAGCTGTACGCAGAATATACAGGGCAAAGAAAAATAAGTAAGGTAACTGGGAACTCTGTGCCACTGACCACCAAACATCCCATGATGCTGCTCCTCAGGATTGTTGTTTTTATTTTACCCCCAAAATGTTTCTTCTTTGGAGTGGAGAAAACAAGGATAGCTGCAACAACATCCATAAGGAGTGAAGGTTTTGAAAGAAAACTA